TCTTGCTCTAGTTAGGCCCCATTTAGATTATGCAGTTCAGTTTTGGTCGCCATATTATAGAATGGATTTAAATTCACTTGAACGTGTCCAGCTTAGGATGACTAAGTTAATTCCCCAAATTAGTAATCTTTCATATGAAGAAAGATTAACAAAGCTTAAGTTGCATTCACTGGAAAGGCGAAGAGTTAGGGGTGACATGATAGAGGTTTACAAGTGGGTGAATGGACATAACAAAGGGGATATTAATAGGGTATTAAAAGTATCAACACAAGACAGAACACGAAACAATGTGTATAAATTGGATAAGTTTAGATTTAGGAAAGACTTGGGTAAATACTGGTTCAGTAACAAGGTTGTTGATTTGTGGAACCAATTGCTGGGTAACATTGTGGAGGTAGGGTCCCTCGATTGTTTCAAGCGCGGGTTGGACATGTATATGAGTGGGATTGGGTGGTTATAAATAGGAGCTGCCTCGTATGGGCCAATAGGCCTTCTGTAGTTGCCTTTGTTCTTATGTTCGTTTAATTCTATCCAAATAGTTTCTGTGTGTCGCTCAGTTTTGATTCCCTCTTTGAGACTACATATCAAATTATCCCTAACATATATGGCTACTCCACCTCCTCGTCTAATATATCTATCTGTGTGAAATAGTTTAAATCCATTTATTTGATATTCAGCTAATAGTTCTCTATTTTCTACATTCATCCACGTGAATGTAGGGCAGATATGACGTCTTTATGGGAACTGGTTACATAGATATTGGATGAGGCGTGTCTAGGACGTATACGGTCTTTGGGGTCAGCAAAAGCGCGAGGAAGATCACGTTTCGTCCAGGAGTACCTACTGTCACTGCTAACTTCAGATGGAAACGCCAGCCTGGCATATTTATCCTAGGATGTTAGAGGAAGTCGTGATCCACCCTATGTGGGTGGATGTATGTGGGGGTGGCATTGGTCACCTTGACAGCATTGTTGGCTTTCGTGGCCTTTCTCTCTTTGCGTAGGGTATTCTGAGTTTTGTAGGCAACAAAAACACTGATTCTGCTTCATCACGTGAGCTGGCGTCCTCGTCATTCTGGGAAGTAATAGGAAGGAGTGCTTGTTCATACTGTACTTCAACATCATGCGGGATGATGACTGAAGTGGACGCATATTCGTCTGGAGCATTTTGGAGAGGGTCAACCGGGTCAATGTGGATGTCCCCTGCAGGCAGGGGAGTATAGTAGCCATAGTCGCGAGTATCACAACATGAAGTGACAAGACTCATCAGTTTTTACATAGCCTTTCAGGCTATGGAGTAACTTGTAACCCGTACCCAGAGCAACTTGTTTTCACACAAATACAAACCAACCCTCCCCCCCCCCCCTCTAAACTCTATTTCCTGGGGGTTAATGGAAATGTGTTATTATTGGCTACAATACAGTGCAAGCTATGTACTGTTACTTACTATTAAGAACTGTATATCGCTTTCATATATAATAGATAGGTTAAAGGACAGGGGAAAGGGGGGTTTGTAATAGGGAATTACTTATGTTGAAAACATATGCAAGTTGATGGTTATTAGGCTGGGGACACAAACAATCTTTCTCACAATTAAATTGATTGCTACTAAACGAATTTGAACATGAATGGGTGTGATAATAGGGTATTGATGGGGTGATGTGATTGAAGGGTATATGTGGATAAACGGAAATGAAAGGGGAAATTAATTGGGGAAATTTATTAGACATTAGGTAAGACATTGGTAAATACCAGTGTGAACATTGTGCTATTTTCCTTGCTTCTTATGTGTAGACCTTCCGAAGTTTACTCCATTTCATAGTGATCGTTAATGATTGGTTCAACATGGGCGGAAATAAATAGGAGATACTGTTTGGTCCCTACAAAAAGACCTTCTGCAATTTAACTCTTAGGTTTAATATACAATCTTCAACCAGAAATAATCTTTGAAAATAGGATGTAATTTAAATCATCGAAAATTGGATTAAATGTGTAATCATCTTCCCTCAATCAGTTCGTTTTCCATAAAGACTTTGCTGAGTGATAACGTCATTGAACATTCGGGATGGCTGTACCTGTGCGCATTACCCAGGTAACAAACTTTCGGGATGACGGGAGGGAACCGTTTAATCTCCATGAAAAAAAATTCAGCATGCCAGGTCTTTGCTGTTTAATCCCTATGGTAAAAAAGCAGGGGTAAAATCGCAGCTGTTACACACGTTCATGGACAAAAAAAATCATTGGCCAAATCGCAGCAGTCATCCACGTTTATGGAAAAAAAATCAGGGGGCCAAGTCGCAGAAGTCGAAAGCAAAATTGCCGTGACTTTGCCCTCTTTATACTAATCACTGCTTAGTGGCGGGTCTCTAAAGCCTACACACCAGTGCTTAGTGACGGGTCTCTAAAGCCCCCACTCCAATGCTTTGTGGCGGGTCACTAAAGCCTCCAAACCACTGCTTATTGATGGGTCTCTAGAGCCTCCACACCACTGCTTAGTGGCAGGTGTTTAAAGCCTCCACACCACTGCTTTTTGGCGGGTCTCTAAAGCTACCATGCCACTAAGTGTCGGGTCTCTAAAGCTACCATGCCACTAAGTGTCGGGTCTCTAAAGCCTCCACACCACTGCTTAGTGGCGGGTCTCTAAAGCTACCATGCCACTAAGTGTCGGGTCTCTAAAGCTACCATGCCACTAAGTGTCGGGTCTCTAAAGCCTCCACTCCACTGCTTAGTGGTTGGTTTCAAAAGCCACCACACCACTGATTAGTGACAGTTTTCTAAAGCCAGCACACCACTGCTTAGGGGGCCTAACGACGGAAAAAATCGTAAAATACTGATATATTTTTAAAAATACTACGAATTGTGGCAACACCGTAGTGCAAACCGATTATTTTTATGATGAAAACCTACGTATTTATGGTATATTTGCGGCCGCAATTGTACAGAATCCGGTGACCCTCGGCTCGGGTGCCCGGAAGGGTATTGCGCCATACGTTCTAAACGTAAAAAATAATTTCTTATGGATAAATAATACACTCATTGTTGATCAAACCACACACTAAAAGTGAAGGGACGACGATGTTTCGTCCTCTAACAAACGTGTCTTAATAAAGCTCACCCTTCCATTCATCTTTCTTTCTCTTTCCTTCTTTCTTTTTCTCTCCCTTGTTTTCTCTTACGATCCCTTGACTATTCCTATTACTATCCTTCTTCTTCCTATGTGTATGACATAGTCGAGAAGGACACCATTGGAAGGATATCCCCTTATTGGATGGGTATAAATAAGAGCTGCCTCGTATGGGCCAAAAGGCCTTCTGCAATTACCTTGGTTCTTAGGTACTTATGTTATTATTCCTATTACTATCCCTTTTATTACACCTTACCTTTCGTACCTTTGCGTTGCTTTTTCTTCCTCTAAGAAAGATTTTTCTTCCAATTTTGATAGAAATCGGTCAACGTCAATCTCAGCCACAGGTGGCCAAACTTTAAACTTATTTTACTCAAGTAAGTAATTTACAACTTCATGGTGCCTGGACTCATTTATTTATTAATCAATTTGCATGAAAATTACACATTATATGTAGAATTTGTGCTAAAATCGTCATTAAACATTTTATTCCAATATTCACTTGTTGAATTTATAAATCTTTATAAACATCAGTTTGTTGTATATTTTTTGGGGGAAACTGAAAAATTTAATTATTGCACTAAACAATTTTTTTTTAAATTACAAATAAAAATTCTTTATTATATGAAAATGTGATAGTTGAGTGTTATAGAAAAGATTTTAGTTGACACTTGTGTTTGTCTAGGCATTTTAAAGTGTAGAAAATTTGCTGAATAATAGATTTAAAAAAAATAATTTCTCCCTTCCTATTTACGCAACGATGCTGAGACTTGGACCAGTTGAAGCCCTTTTCATATAAAACTATGAAATAAAGTTTGATTGAAATTGAACAACTTTTAATTTTTGGTGTTTGGCCCCCTTAGTGGCGGGTTTCTAAAGCCAGCACACCATTGCTTAGTGACGGGTCTCAAAAGCCAGCTCACTACTGCTTTGTGGAGGGTCACTAAAGCCAGCACACCACTGATTAGTGGTGGATATCTAAAGCCTCCACACCACTGCTTAGTGAGGGGTCTCTAAAGCTTTCACACCATGGCTTAATAACGGATCTCTAAAACCTTCAGACCACTGATTATGGGGTCTCTAAAGCCACCACGCCACAGCTTACTGACGGGTCTCTAAAGCCTCTAACCACTGCTTAGTGTCAGGATTTCTAAAGCCACCACGCCACTGATTAGTGACGGGTTTCTAAAACCACCTCACCACTGCTTAGTGACGGGTTTCTAAAGTCACCACACCACTGCTTAGTGACGGGTCTCTAAAGCCACCTCACCACTGATTAGTGACGGGTTTTTAAAGCCACCACACCACTGCTTAGTGACGGGTTTCTAAAGCCACCTCACCACTGATTAGTGACGGGTTTTTAAAGCCACCACACCACTGCTTAGTGATGGGTTTCTAAAGCCACCACACCACTGCTTAGTGGCGGGTCTTTAAAGCCTCCACACCACTGCTTAGTGATGGGTTTCTAAAGCCACCTCACCACTGATTAGTGACGGGTTTTTAAAGCCACCACACCACTGCTTAGTGGCGGGTCTTTAAAGCCTCCACACCACAGCTTAGTTCCAGGTTTCTAAAGCCATCATACGACTGATTAGTGACGGGTTTCTAAGTCTTTCAGACATGATCCAACTTCCTCCCGATATTTAATTACATATGTCACCTGAGATACTGACTGTTGTCTCACGCCGTCTATAGGTCCAGCCTCTGTACGCCTCCATTCTATACGCCTTTGTTTTTCCTATTGAGGTGCTATCTGATACTTTGTTAGCCCCATGTTTTCTTAATTTTATTTCCTGAACTGAGTGATACATAACAATAAAGAGTAGGGACGGAGAGGAAGATAGTGAGAAGAGTGTACTTAGCATGGAAGAGCTCACCTGGCCTGAGCACACAGTTGTAGCGTAGACGCGTCCAGACCAAACTCCATAGTGACGGTGTGGGTGGTGGTGGGGCCGCAGGCGTGGTAGTGGTAGTGGCTCTAGGGGTGGTGGTCGTGAATGTGTGGTAATGGTGGTGGCATTAAGGGTGATGGAGGAACTGCGGGTATGGTAATGTTGGTGGCATTAGTGGTGATGGGGCAGCTGCGGGTGTGTTACTGGTGTTGAAGCTGGAGGTGACAGTGGGAAGTATTGCAGTTGGCGTTGATGGTGCTTCAAATGATGGTGCTGCAGATATGGTAATGGTGGTGACACTTGGGTTGGTGATGGTGCTGATGGCTGTGTTTTGATGCTGCAGCTGGTGGATGTGGTGCTATAGGTCGTGATGGTGCTGCAGGTGGTGGAGCTACAGGTGGAGCTAAAAGTTTGATGATACAGGTGATGGAGCTACAGATGTTTGTGCTACAGGTGGTGGGGCTACAAGTGCGGTGATACAGGTGGCTGTGTTACAAGTGTCGGTGCTTCTGGTGATGGTGGTGCTACAGGTAGTACAATGTCAGCTTATTGATGCGTCATTGTTGCTGGGTCTGGCCACACCTGCACACTTGCTCTAACCACGATGCCGTGTTGACAGTGTCCTCAGCCAGCCGTGGTGTGCAGGCCAGGGAAGTGAGCCTTCAGTGCGGCCCCACACACTCACACTCACGGTGCCAGACGTTGGTCTCGTCACTTGTATTATCCTCACCAAGTACGTTGGTTTGGCCGGGTTGGTTAGTCTTGTATAAGGTCTACTCACTTCCCAACTTTAAAGTTTGTTCCTTTTGTTTGCTCTCACTTGTATCTGAAAAAAAACGAAAAAGGGTAAAATAAATCTTACATAATGCCAGTATTGCATAACAACCAATGTTTGTTGCATATGATAAAAATCCGTATGTTAACATTTTTCCATAAACATAAACATCAGAAGCATGTGAACAAGCTAAAGGTAAGGACCAGCCAAAGCTGTTCTGGTGCCATATATTGAGATAAACAGAAGCGAGAGACAATGAACTCGGGTTAATTGAAACTACGAGGTATTCTCACAGAACATGATTAGGATGAACATGTACATCATCAAAAGGAAAATTTCAGGGGGGGGGGGGGTATATACAACAGAACTAATGTGGAATCCAAGGTTGAAAGATGAAAGGCTCGGAGAAGTAATGGATGATAATGAATTCATTATGATAAGAATTAAAAAACCTAGAGGAACTAGATATGACCAGGTCAATGGGCCCAAACTTGATTTCACCATTGCTGTGACAAAGGTTCTTTGTCACCCATTAACTTTGTTTATATAACACTTAATACAGGAAATCTCCCAGAGGTGTGGATAAAAAGAAACATAGTTCTAATATCCAGAAAGAGCACAGACATAAGATTTTAAATTACAGACTATTGTAATTGTAGCATTTTCTATGTAAAGTTTTGGAGAAAGTAATCAGGTAGAGAAAGGAGAGGACCAACAATGTAATGAAAGAGCAGAATGGATTTAGAAAGGGAAATTCGTGCCTAACTAACTTGATTGAGTTTTATGATAGGATTGTGAGAGAAGAAAGGCTGGGAAGACTTTATTTTCCTAAATTATCATAAACAATTGACACTGATCTTCGTAAAAGGCTGCTGTACAAGATGGAGCGGAAGGCTGGAATAACAATGAAAAAACTGACATGGGTAAAGGAGTACCAGGAGGGCGGAGAACAAAGAGTCAAAGTCAGAAGATTTCGAGTTAGAGGAATGACACAAGTGGGGTCGCTTAAGGTTTGTCGTGGAACTGCTGCTGTTTACAATTTATGTAAACGACTGCAAGAGGGAATGAGCAATCAATGTCTGCAGATGGCACAAAGCTGACGAGGAATGTAAAAATAGAGGAACAAGCCTGTCTTTACGTTACTTATTAAGAGTAAAACAAATTTGACTGGTATAGCAAGTTGGTGTAGAAGAACTCGCAGCCTCAGCTGACGAGTTATGTATAACACTCTGTATGGGGGGGGGGGGGGGGAGACACACACATTAATACGGTAACATTGGCAACATCCAAAATGTTGACAAAAATAAGAGCATCATTTAGAAACCTAAGCCAATCAAGGCAATCTACACGTTCGACCAATATTGGAATATGTAGTACTAGCATTGAATCTGCATGTTAAGCATCAAACCAAAATTGAAAACGTACAGAGATTTGCAGCAAGATTGGTGCCAGAGCTTAGAGGCTTAATTTTAGCTCTGGAACTAAGTCCAGTACAGGCTACTGCAACTCTCACAACCTTAGAGGGCACAAGAAAAAAGCGGACAAGATAAAAACAAGGGATACTGAGGGAATATACAAGGTGAGCATGGACAACTTCAAACTGAGACGCAGTACTACAAGAGTACAACCGTGGAAAAAAAACTCCTCCCATACCCTTCTCTTCCCTGTAGACACTAATTGGTAAGTACTGATATGTAAGCACACACACACACACACACACACGGCCGGCCGGCCGGCCGAGCGGACAGCACGCTGGACATGTGATCCTGTGGTCCCGGGTTTGATCCCGGGCTCCGGCGAGAAACATTGGGCAGAGTTTCTTTCACCCTATTCCCCTGTCACCTAGCAGTAAATAGGTACCTGGGAGTTAGTTAGCTGTCACGGGCTGCTTCCTGGTGTGTGTGTGTGTGTGTGTGTATGTGTGTGTGTGTGTGATGTGGAAATATAATAGCAGTAGTAGTAGTTACAAACAGTTGATTGACAGTTGAGAGGTGGGCCGAAAGAGCTGCAGCTCAACCCCCCCCCCCCAAGCTCTACTACGTGAATACACCGTCACCACTACTATCACTACCACCGCCACCATCACCATCACTGCAACCATCACCACTAACAACACTACCCGACCACCATCACCACTATCTCACCATCACCACAATCCCACCATCACCCTAATATCATCACGACTACATTCATGACGAACACCATCATAACTATCCTACATTGTCACCATCATCACTATCCTACATCGTAGGATAGTGATGATGGTGACAACTCCTACCTCCACCACCATCTCCATTAACACCATCATTACTAACAGCATCACAATCATCACCACACATAACTACCTTTACTCTGCTACATTAGCTACACTGCCAGTATTTACTCAAGGACATCCCTCTTCAAGTTAAAAAAAGAGTCATTGGTATGTTTGGCTAAGCTAATGTAACTCTCGAAACTATTAACAGGTAAGTCATTGGGAATGTCTCAGTTCCTCCAGATTTATGTCCAACATTGAGGTTTCGCTTGTGAGCGATTTAATATAAAAAAATACAGAATAACGCTCGCATCTTCCTGTTATACATTGTGAATTTATGTGGATTTCCGACATTGGATGGAAAGTTTATCAGATAGTTTACCTCGCTCTGGTCAAATGAAAAGCTCCAACAGATATGTGTACACTTTCTTGTAAACAAAACGGAATTGGAATTATTACGCTTAACAATTCCCACTAGTCAAGTGATATCATCAGAAGTGGATAACATTAAAATCGACACCACAGTCCATTACAGCATTACTCTATGAGTCATTCATAAGCACGCAAAGCCTGTTTCTGCAATGATGAAACCAAAGTTGTGGCAGGCTTGTAAGAAGCAGTTCACTTCGTGTTGCATCATTTGCTCTGTGCTGGCGTTGAGGGAGCAATAATTAGCGAACAGGAAGTCTCTTATGGTAGTTTCCTTCACCTTTGTAACGGCCTGTAGGAGCCAGAGGTTGAACAGCCCACCGTCAGTCGTGTATCTGATGGGTATACCATCCTGGCAGTCATGGAAGGTACTAGTAAACCTGGCCGAGAATACCATGCTGAAGAGTATTGGTGCGAGAATGCAACCCTGCTTCACACCGTTCCTCACTGGGATGGCTTTTGACTCTTCTCCTTCGTCCTGTCTAACCACTTGGGCTGGACGGTAGAGCGACAGTCTCGCTTCATGCAGGTCAGCGTTCAATCCCCGACAGTCCAAGTGGTTAGGCACCATTCCTTGCCCCCGTCCCAACCCAAATCTTTATCCTGACCCCTTCCCAGTGCAATATAGTCGTAATGGCTTGGCGCTTTCTCCTGATAGTTCCTTCCGTCGTACTTTCGCCATCATGGAACTGCTGGACAATCACAGTTAATTTTCCAGGACAGCCAAACGTCTCTATTATAATTCACAAGCCATCACTGCTGACCGTATCGAAGGCCTTGGTCAGGTCGAAGGTCATGAAGAGGTTACTATGTTGCTCTTGGCATTTTTCTTGGAGCTGGCATACAGCAAATATCATAACAACCGTTCCTCGTTCTGTGAGGAAGCTGCATATGTTTTCTGGGTTGAGACCCTGCTCAAGGTGTTGAGGGAGAAAATAAAAAAGGATTAGAGTCAGGATCTTCCCAGTGATGGACAGGCGTAAATTACCCCGGTGATTATCCAAGACTGCCCGTTGCCTTTCCTCTTGTAGATGTGAACAATGCTTATTATTATTAACATCTTTATTGACAAAATTTAATACAAATTTTGCCTAATCTGAGGATTTCAATTAAGTCTTGTTAAAGTGAGGATAATGCTGGTATTCACTGTCACACAGGACAGAGGGTCATACACAAGACAATAAGCCTAAACTGTATGCTGAAGCACACATATATCATGGTTACAATCAATGTTTTAATGCACGAATATGTAAAAACAACTTTCCATTGTGCACTGCCACACAAGGGCAGGGATGGGTTCATAAGAGATGCAGCTTAAAAATAATACAAATAAAGTCGTTCTTCATTCTTTAAAATGGACAAGCAAATTTTAGATAAATTGTTAGGATCTCGTCCAGTACACCAGATTCAATGTAATAGTTACACAGTTGGTCGTACAATAGGACAAGAGGTAAAAAATCTTTCACGGTTTCACATTCACATAGAGTGTTCTAGTGACACATTCACATATAGTGTTCTAGTGACACATTCACATAGATTGTTCTAGTGACACATTCACATAGAGTGTTCTAGTGACACATTCACATAGAGTGTTCTAGTGACACATTCACATAGAGTGTTCTAGTGACACATTCACATAGAGTGTTCTAGTGACACATTCACATAGAGTGTTCTAGTGACACATTCACATAGAGTGTTCTAGTGACACATTCACATATAGTGTTCTAGTGACACATTCACATAGAGTGTTCTAGTGAATGCAATAAAGGTTTGTCACAGAGTTTACAATATTCTGGTAGTAGCTCAGCCTCACTAGCCTTCCTGATGTGCCTATAGCTAAGGCGAATTCGCGCAAGGTCTTCATCACATTGCCTGGTCCGGTTACTGTGCTGACCATACAAATGCCTATTACTACAAAAGTTGTCATAGCTTTCAATACTGCAGCTTTCAGGTCTCTGGGCATTTCTTAGTTCTTCTACATCGGAATTAATTTCTTTACTTTGCATCTTTCTAATAATTGCATTAGATAGTCCAAAGACATAATCAGTTTTCTTTCCTGCAAGCCTCATTGGCCATTTGGTCTACAAAGTCATGTTTCCCAACTCCAACATGGGATGGGATCCACACAAATTTTATACAAATCATTGGCAAAAATTCCATTCCATTTAATATTACAAGGTACTTCAGACATAAATTGTGATGGATTATTGTGGGGCTGCAGAGCACTTTTAGAGGCACAGAATATCACTCCACCACCATTAAGGTTAAGGTACTCAGTGGCTAGATAAATACCCAATAGCTCAGTCTGTGTCGTGTTTGCCCAGTTGTTTAATCTCTGTGTACTAGACATAATCATTTCATTCCCTTT